GTTCGATAGCTGTTCGATAGCTCTTCGATAGCTGTTCGATAGCCGTTCAATAGCCGTTCGATAGCTGTTCAAAGCTGTTCGATAGCCGTTCGATAGCTGTTCAAAGCTGTTCGATAGTAGTTCAAAAGCTGTTCGATAGTAGTGTAATAGTGGTTTACATATTATAGTAATACGTTATTCATATTTAAAAGACTTTAATTGTAGATAGTTATTCGCGGAAACATGCTTACTTTTGTCTTCTTATCATGTGCAGAAGGTAAGCGTTCTTTGCAAGTGATGTATCACTTCGTGACGCATCCCCTACTCTAAAATATTTAATCGAGACGATGTCTATCCCGTTATGTCCGTCACAAAGCGTTTGACAACGAGTGAAGTAGTTTTGAAAGAAGAGTGAATAAAAGCTGATATTTCGAAAATGCCATCGTTGATCGAGTTGGTGTTGCGTCGAGGCCTATTGAACACGTCATGGTGGGCGCAGGATTTAGTAATGGGGCTGTTGAGAGTTCTATTAAATCTAATAGTTTTTCAAAGAGTAAATAATATTTGTGTATGTTTTATATCATATAAATTATTTATAATTTATTATAATTTGATTCGATTTGATTTATAGTATCAGTGTACGAGTGATATCAAGATTCCTGGTTTTATGAACTTTGAATTGGACGATTCGAATGTTGCGACGAAACGCGCGAGACGAATTGAACGAATTGTGGAGATACTGTGGAGGCTCGAGAGTACGATTCGATCAATTGGTCCTGGATGTACTGGGGTATTTTTTGCCTTAAAAAACTGTTTGGACTCGAGCCTTACGATGGCGAGGAAGAATCATGAGACGAGCCTCCAAGCAAGAGATCGAAGACTTAATTGTAAGTATCTTTTTTAAAATTTATAATAAAGGACCTCGCAAATTTCTTATGGAAAATGGCTCTCAGTCGATTTGCCTGAAATTGAAGTATCTTGCTGTTCATGACCTACTGATGAAATGTTTTCATGGGCGCAACTCGAAATAATGGGCCAGTTTCGAGCTAAAGAGCGCTGAAGTCGTCAACATACGTAGTACGTTAAGGATTTGTGTAAATGATATTGTAAGCGCGTGAATGCGTGTGTATGTATCTGTGTGTGTTTATGTGCGCGCACATTTAGATTGCTTAATCTTGTTCTCGAGTGCCGAAAGGTCAAAGTTCAGCCTCTTTCTTGCTACAAGCGGACACTTCGTTCATTTGGGAATATTATTATTTCTCATATTTCACTCTAGTGACATATAAGTTATCTATCTGTTTTATCTATTATTAGCGTTAGCCAGGATCAACGACGAAAATGTTTTGAGAATATGATCCCTTTGGGGTGCTTGATTATAAGGTGAGTCCCCTTGCCTCTCACCATCGGTATAGGATATATTATACTATTCTTGTTGGTTAACGATTTCGGGTAGGTTATTCAAATCTGGCGGTAGTAGCCTTTCAGCAGCATCAAGTATTTGGTATAACAGTGATATTCTTGGGTATTTGACCTGTTGTTGATGTCTTGCAAATCCAAGGTACCACAAGATACTAGCGATATGAGCACACGTACCTAAAGTTCTCGCTCCTATTCTGCACGTACAATAATAACCCATAATCGGATTTTCTTGTTCATCGTCATTGTCATTTCCTGTAACATAAGCGACCCATTGTTGGTGAATAGTGTTATTTCTGAAACGAAAATATAATCGAAATCTTATGAAATCTGGCTCGACCGCATGCACGCCTACCTGAAAAACGTTTTCCTCTCTAAGCATTGTATCTTGAATATATGAGGGAGCCAATAATAGTTAATATATCCCCAATGTTAGATATTGTAAATATTCAAAAGTAAGCTCAGGAAAATCTATAAGTTGATTGTGGTCAAGACGAATCCATTCAGCTCTTCTCCGACGCTGTAGATTTTCTGCTTCTATCCGTGCCTGGACTATATTTATCTCCTGTGTTCTCGCTAGTAATGTTAAAGCTAACTCTGCATCAGCACCCTCCATCTGTATAGGCTCATGATATCGATTTATAATACAACCAGCTATACGATAGAAATCACCGATATGGGAAGTATGCGTCATTCTGATTACTTGGGCTAAAAAATGGAAAATACTTTTAATATTACCGTTTCGAGCTTCCACAATCCATCTAATTTTGATCACTAACCTGGATGAATTTGCTTGTGCTGTTATTAATTGACGTTGTCCTCTTTCTAGTAGTTCCGGCATGTGATAACGTATATCCAATTGTTCCAATAGTTCAACAGCATCACGATATCCCCGGTCCACGATCAAAATATCATTTGCCTGAAAACATTCTCTCATTCCATTAATATCTCTCTCGAACTGATCTCGTAACAATGCAGCATCATTATTTCGAGAATCAGAAAAGTAGGGACCTTGAATATCGAGGATATAGCCGTCTGGTGCCACTATCAATACGGATTTTATTAAATGATGGCCTTTATGTACACAATAAGATTGTCTCAACACCCGAAAATTTCTGCTTTTTTCAATGTATGCATAGGTGCCGTCGACATATGTGATAGCTTTGGGAATATTTGGTTCCGTATTATATAAAGTGTTAGCGAAATCGGTCACATGTTGTTGTATATAACTTTGCTTTGTAAGAGCTTGGAAACCGATATTCTGAGGCACAAATCTTGGTAATAATGACTGTCTCACTTTTTGGATCACAGAACTGACTAACTGTCGACTAGAATAATTGAAGATAATCTTTAAAACGTCATCACAAATACCTTGTCTCATTTTTGTTAAAAAAGTTAGAAGA